CAAGAGTCACAAGCATAAAACTACATATTGCATACACAAATATCTACAATCCAAAGGAAGGAATTTATTGATTGATTGTGAGAGTCAGATGCGATTTGAATTTAGGTAACAGAAAATTAGAAAGCATGCGCGCGCGCGAGAGAGAGAAAGAGATTGTTATAACAGTAGTACTATTTCAGTCTGAATGTTCTCTAGGAATTGGATAGGACAGTCTGAATGTACTCGCCTTAAGTTGTATGCTTCACCAAATCCTACAACAACAACAACAACAAAAAACATTGTTGTGTACAACAATAACAACAGTAAGTGTATTCAAAAGAATGGGAATACATTGGAAGTTGTCAAGACAAAGGAATTGTAACAAGGAAAGGTAAACAAAAGTAATCAATATTATTTGTAAGATCAAAAGTATGAACTCAATAAGCATATCACAGACAGATTAGTAATTTATTGTACAATTGTGCTGGATACAAGAACAGACAAACGAATTATTTTAAAAAATGTAGACTGACAATTCAAGATAAAAAAAACAACTTAACCTGTGTGTGTGCGTGGACGACAGGAAAAGAAGAACATTTACAAAATGAATATTGGCATATACTGCGTGTGTGATAGCTTGAGAAAGCAGCTGGTTTTGCGGTGATAATAATAAATGAATCTTTGGTGGGGAATATTACTTTTGTCCACATAAAGTATTCGACAACCTAGATGTACATATAAAAATAATAAAATAATATTGAATGGAGTAATATTTTATTATAATTAAAACAAGTGATCATTATGTATAGGAGAGATTAACATGACTTTGACGAAAACTCACTAATAAAATAACTAGTTTTTCTATTGGTTACCACAGTAATTAATGGACATGGTGGTGTGTGGGTTGACTGGTCATGATGTGTAATCTCCCGGAAATTTCTGTTAGGCAGCGTATTACTCTAACTATGAACGGTAACATACTCTAGCAGTGTCCCATATTTGGTATTCTGGTACCAGAAAATATGAAACATCCACTCAACGGTAGACGAACGAGGGAAGTTCGACCAGTTCTTGTCTACTAGCGACTGGTCCTATTCAAGCAGTTACCTTGGGTTCTAGTGTGAAGTCGTGACCAGTAGGGTAGAGCAGGTCGAAGGTGAGGACAGTTACTCATCGAAGAAGACATTACGAAGTGGTCGCGCTATATCGTGAACTGTCAAAAGTTAGAATTCATGGGCTAGCTGTTGGACTGGCGGATCCCAGTGGCTTAATGGTTTACGAGCTAGCTCGCCTTGTAACCAGAAGGTTCTGGGTCCGACCCCTGTGGTGGGTGCGTACTGATGATGAGTCCCAAACTAGGGCGAAACAGCTGGCTGCCCAATACTCCCAGGTTTTCCAATGGTTCTCTAACTAATGTCAGCTCATGATGAAATCAAAAACAAATAGATCCCTACAAAGCAATACCCGAAAATAGTCGGAAAATACACAATTGAAAGATAGTGGAAATGCGGATGGTGAAGAATTTTAATCATAGACACTTTTGTATCATAACATGTGTACTAAAAACCACAGTGTGAGGGGTTTTGAGACTAAGTGTATGGGACACAGAATACAGCTCAGACAATAAGTTTGCAGTAGCTTATTGACTGGCAAAGATGGTTGTCACATGCTTTACATATGCTAAGTTATCCGACTCCCTTGAACAGCAAGGTTAGCTAGCTAGAAATGAAATCTCCAATATACATATATCCTAAGCAGAAGACACCAGATATGGAAATCTTTCCTAACATTGTACACACAAGTCTAAACAGAAAGAAACCACTGACAGTAAATCAATTAATGAAGTCAGTGACTTGGTTTGTGCACATTACATGTTGCTCAGCAGTCAGGACAATTGATAAACTAAAACTCAGCGCTTTACGATACTAATCAAAAATCAATTGAAAAGGTGCAATTGTATTCACTCATTTTTTTTATTCCTTTACGTTCCCCAGTGGGACATAGGGATTCAAGCTAGAGCCTTGAAGTTTCGATAGCAGTGGTGTTTATTTTTACGGGATGGGGTTGCTAGCCTCATACCCAAATTTTCCTCCTTACCAATCTTATTACTGGTTTGGAGAGGTAAAGAAGTGCGTCGGTGGCGGGGATTGAAACCCAGACCAAATGAATGGTGGGCGAGCATTCTACCTCTGTGCCACCGATGCATTGTATTTACTCATTATTATATACCAAATTTGTGATATTTGCCGTCATTTACTTAGTGATTCGATCTACTTGCATACTCTGAGAATTTTTGTTCATCTTCTCTTATTATTATTACCTGTTTTGAATTGATGGACTTATTTACAGTATCCAATGGCATGAAGTTTGTCATACACACACTCCACTTCCTTCTGCGTATTTGTTGGGTAATATGTTCTTGGCTGATTCACTACCAGATCTCCTGTTGTTCATTCTCCTTTCTCGCTATAAGATCTTCAGTATTGTGCGATAAAACTAGAACTTGCATAAAACTATGTACTATTACCAATCGATTGATATGAGTAGTTGCATACCCCTTAACCAGTAGTGTGCTTGCTAACCAGCCAGATCGAGGGGTGATATAAACACCGGACGACCGTTTCGCTCGTTTAACACCGATCTTGTTTATTCCCACAATCGCCGAGGTTGTTTACTACAATCGCCTTGAATCAGGTGTTTTCAATCTCTGTAGGTCAACACACACCTAGCATCTATGACTCATGCGTTATCTTGACTCTAGTAAAAAATAAAGTCATGTGTATGCAGAGAACACAACTTTCCCGGTATGTGTACTTTATTTTCTGAGGTGAAATGAAAATAGCTTCTATTCCCTTCGACCATCTGTTAATTCGACATATTGTATTACCAGAGTTGTGACTGCTCAAATTATCAAAGATACTCTTAAATTCTGAGTATATTACCAATCAATAATAGAATAACAATTCCATATTAGTTTGTTTATTAGATGTATCACACAGTGAAACAGTATTATTTACTGGATGACATTTCGAACAAAATTTATTGTTCATAATCATATGAATTATAATCACAAGACTTCGTAACCTGGGTTTTATAGTTTTCTTTGTCCTCTCCTATTTTTCGTAGGGGTGGCAGAATTTTCGTGTGATTACAATTGATATGATTATGAACAGTAAATTTTGTCATCCAGTAAATAACACTGTTTCACTGTGTGATACATCTAATAAACAAACTAATATGGAATTACTTACTACCACAGTGCCCAAGTTTTACACATATTAATAGAATAACAACATAAATTAAGACACAACTGTGAGAACAGTCTTTTTCTACCCACCCACACACACACACAACTGTAAATTGTGTAGTCAGTTTATGAAGGTTTGCAAGAATATCTGGAGTGTGAGTTCATATATGGAAACCGCTTCTTTATTAGGTAGAAGAAGGTCTACTGTTTAAGCCGATGATCATTTAAACTACTGACATAACATTAATACACAAATATATCACTCGTTTTACCACAAAACTAAACCACTTACCAATCCATAGCTTCTTCTAAACCTTCACCTTTTAGTGCAGATGTTTTAAACAATTGATATCGTCGATTTTTAATAGCAGCTAAGCCAAGCGATTGAGCTACTTCACTGATAGTCATACATCCTGAGATATCTTGTTTATTAGCCAATATTACAAGTACAGCTCCACGAAGTTCTTCTTCCTGTAATCAATGACAGACAGAGAAAAGAAATTATGATCACACATCTCTTTCTATCTTTCCATAAATAACTGAACACTTAGTTTACTGCAAAAAATATAGACCGTTTAAGTAAAAAGAAATCCGAAGGGGTTTACGCAACTGAATTAATTGTACTATACTTGTAACGACAGAAGACAAGGGCCAGGCAACAGATAGTTTATTGAGAAAATCAACAGATATTTACAGATTTTTATGTACATTATTATTCGTTATTATTAGCAGAGAAACGTGAGTCGGTGGCACAGCAGTTAGGACGCTCGCAAACCATACACATGGTCCGGGGTTCGATCCCCGGCGGAAGCACTTCTTTACCTCGCTAAACTAGAAATAAAGCCGGTAAAGAGGAAAGTTTTAGCAACTCCAATCCCGTAAAAGCAAACACCACTGCTCTCGAAACTTCACGCCTCTAGCTTGACGCCCCATGTTCCACTGGGAACGTGAAAGAATAAAAAAAAATTAGCAGAGAAACAGCGTCTTCTGATTGGTTGTTTTTTCGCTGAAAGTTATTCTGTCACCTCTTTGTGGCCAATTCTTTGAAGGTCAGACCACATATCTGAGAATCGTACCCGCCCACGCAAAGTCGACTGTGATTGGTTGCTGAGCTAGTCTTTGTTCTTGTTCTTTCTCATGCCCAAGGTTTGGGACGTAAACATTAACGTAAATTGCTGTCTACCGATTTGGCTAGCAGACAGCTCTCATCGCATACTCATTTCATTTTGTTTTTACAGGATTTCATCATGAGCTGACATCGGTTAGAAAACCACTGGAAAACCATCACGGAGTACTAGACAGCTGTCCCGTCTTAACTCCGAACTATTCAGTAGTACGCACCAGCCACAGGGATCCGAACCCAGGGCCTACCTTCCAGTTACAAGGCGATCATCTTTTAGACCATTGAGTCACTGGGACCCGATCCAGTGACCAGTTTATGAATTCCAACGTCTGCCAATTCACGACATAGCGCGACTACTACCCTCCATCGTTGTCGGTGAGAATTTATCCCCACATCTAACCTGTTGTACCCCCCCCACTGGTCACGACTTCCTCTTACCTCTTAGTGGTAGAGCAAAGCAAATTTCTTGAATTGATGAAGCGAATAAAACCCAGAAACTAAACGGCTCGCAAGTATAGAAAAAGAGTGCGATTGTACACCATCTATTGGACACCGGTCATATTGTGGATAATCCAAAGATGTTCAAAATAATCAACAGACAAAATTAAACCTAGTCTGCAACGTATTGCTGAGACAATCACCATCAAACAGTGAAAACCAAATCTATGTAGGCAAAAAGAAACACAGTGGTGAACCTTGCGCTAACACTTGGTGATTAAACTTACAAAACAAAATTTAGACCATCTTGAATATATCTCATGCTCTCTCCCATATCCGCTGTTGCTGTTGAGTTGAGAAAATTTGTTTCTTTCGTCTGAAAAGCACTCATTTTACTCCTTTCCCTGTTATTGTATAACAAAACATATTTTCTGCAGTTATGTAAGCCTATCTTGCTGATAATGCTCTATTTTGATTTGACACTAGTAACTAATGTGTGCGTCTATTCCTTTCTTTGGCGCAAACTGAATCCTACCAGTCAGGTTTGCAATATGGTCATCATTCTAGGTAACTCGCCATCACGGTGCACACTGATTTGATGAAATTAGATGGTTGGAGGTAATCGGCGAGAAGCCTTGGACCTAGGCTTTGTGCTATTTGGCACTCGTCAAGGTTGCAGATACGCCTTGCTGACGATTTCTCCCATACTAATATTATAACAATTATTAAAAAATTCTGTTAACTCCTGACCTATGTAACCATCTATAGTTCCGATCGATTTACACTTCAATTGAGTAGAAAGTATATTTATCAAATGTTCTATGTGATTTCATGCTTTTGTACATAGTTTAGATTGTAGATAGGCGGCAACTGAGAGAAAGAAACCATGAGAGAGTGCAAAGAATGAGGTTAATATATTCTTGCTTTGGTTCAAGCAATGATAATTGTTAACTTTTATATGTTAGAACTGTACGTATTATTTATTCAATTCAAATAGTGTGTGAATGTTAAGATTACTGACCGGTAATTATGAATGTCTACATAGAAATTTGTATCAACAGACCCAAAATCACACACACCCGTTATCTGTTGCAAATAACTTTAATCATTAGAATGTAATCACAGAGTCACTCAAGTATGTGAACATTGAAAACTTGCCTTATTACTATTATTATTAGTAGCAGTACTATTATAACAAAAGAAGACAAGGGACAGGCAACAGATCGTTTATTAAGGAAATCAACACATGTTTATATATTTTCATGTACATTATTATAGATTATTCTTAGCAGACAAACACAGTCTTCTGATTGGTTGTGTCTCATTGAAAGCTAATCTTTCATTTCTTTGTGGCTGTATCTTGAATGTCAGATCATTTATATGCTAATTGTATGGTGAGAGCTGGCTGCTAGCCAATTGGTAGACAGTCATTTACGTCAATGTTTACGTCCTCAGTATTGGTCGTCAGAAAATATGAACAAAGACCACAACAGACTTTGCGTAGGCGGATACAGTTAACATATAGATGATCTGACATTCAAGATACAGCCACAAAGAGATGAAAGATTAGCTTTCAATGAGAAACAACCAATCAGAAGACTGTGTTTTTCTGCTAACGATAATCTACAATAATGTACATGAAAATATATAAACATGTGTTGATTTCCTTAATAAACGATCTGTTGCCTGGCCCTTGTCTTCTGTTGTTACAATTAAATCCGCCTGCGCAAAGTCTGTTGTGATTGGTTGTTGAATCAGTCTTTGTTCATATCTTCTCACGACCAATATTGAGGGCGTAAACATTGACGTAAATTACTGTCTACCAATTTGGCTAGCAGCCAGCTCTCACCACACTATTATGAACAAGCATTTCGAATATTTCATAATAACATTGAGGTTGAAATATTACAGGATAGGGACGCCGCTACTGGACTCAAATTGCGCTGATCACGGATACGGCTTGATTGTACCAACAACATGATGCAATAGCTACCTGTTCCCCTCAGCCCGCTCTACTCAAGCCACGACACACAACGACATCAGATGGGAAGTACATAAACATGACCAATGGCGTTGCGAAATTATCCAGACCACAATGATCCAATCTTACTATAAACACGTGACATATCTGACTACACATATTAGAGACACACTTATTGTGTGAGGACAGTTGATACCCCACCACCTAGTTGCCCAAGCTGAAATAGGTGGAGCAAGATTCGAAATTGTGACCCACTGGCTGTTAGTCGAGTGATAAAGTCAAGGAACAGTATTTACTGGGATAGGATCAAAGTTAACAATAATAAAGTTTGTGCGTTGAACGACTGTGACTTTTCGTTTGTCGATCTTAACTATTTGTGGTGTGTCTTCTTGGTGCCATAGTGTACCAGGTTTTGTGTTTTGAATAAAATAATGAGCATAATGCATAATAAAGACAGTAAACAGAGGTGTGAGACAAAAGGAATAGTAATTGCGAAGAACGAATCAGTTTCATTGGAAATCATAAGTCACAAGGAGTGGATGCATCTGGGCCAGCCAGCCATTGAGAACGATTTTGAACCATATCACCAACTGTCTCCAGCCTTCATTGGTTTCTACTGTCCCGAGGACCCCAACCAGAAAGCCTACACCTCCCTACGTGGCCTAAACTAACTGTTGTGGATTTCATTGACTGGTGCCATGTTTTGGTTTTACCACCTCTACCTCTTTTCCAGCCTGACCCTATGTCATTGCCCGTCGAGGAAGGTAATGACTAGGCATACGTAACACATGTCCTAACCATCTCAATCGATGCAGCTGCTTCACAGCCTCGTCGATTGATTTCCCCTTCTTACCTAGCACTCGACTGAAGCCTAACCTAAATATTGCTCACCTTATTATACCACTTCACACGGGAGAGAGAACGTAGGCACCCATGATCGAAGATAGCTAATCTTTTCATGTCTTCCACTCTCAATGACCAAGTCTCACAGCTAGCCATAGAGGAGGACGGAGCGGACTGCTGAGCAGTACATCCGCCCTTTGGTCGATAGACGGTTGGATATCACGTCTACACCAGAGACGGCATAAACTGGCATATGCGAAACTAACCCTCTGTATCTGTACTGAGACTTCGTCAGAGATTAATCCGTTGGGGCTGATGACGGTTAAGGGCTACTCAAACCCCAGTAGATGTAGAACAGTCACAAAAGGATATATAAAAATTCCATAGACAATAACAATAGTTATGTACACGCATAACAGTATTAAAGAATAAAGACGACTTACTTCAAGCATTGAGAATAATTCTTGCTTTGAAATACCCATTCTATCACGATCCATGCTATCAACCACGTAGATAATAGCATCTGTATTTGAATAATAACATCGCCAATAAGGTCGAATACTCGTCTGACCGCCTAAATCCCATACTTGAAATTTCAGATTCTTGTGAACTACAGTTTCCACATTAAATCCAATGGCTAAGGGGTTTTTTAAAAGGAGAGAGAAAAGTTTATCTTTCAGTATACAGCGAAAAGTTTAATTCAGCAGACAATTAGAAGATATAGAAGAAAGATAGAACAAAGAATATTCTTATTTATAAATTCCCTTTCCAGCTCTACAATTATCTATATTTATATGCACAAAATATTCTACAATAGTCATCACTAATAATATTGATGTTTTTATTTAAGTAATAGCAGTTGGTTAAGAACAGTGAAATTACAGTTCAAGACAGATGCAGTAACTCATCGAAGAAGACACTGTGAAGTGGTAGCGCTACGTCATGAATCGACAGAAGTTAGAATTCATAGGCCATTCGATCGGGTGCCAATGACTGAATAGTCTACGAGCTCGCCTTGTAACCAGAAGGTCCTGGGGTTTGAATCTCGGTGGGTGCGTACTCCTGGAGAGTCCCAAACTAGGACGAAACAGCTCTTCAGTACTCCCAGGTTTTCCAATGATTCTGTCATTGATGTCGGCTAATGATGAAATCCTCCAACAAATCAAACAAAATCCCTACAAAACCAATACTTGAAAAATTGGTGCATAAGTATAAAAAATGTATTGCTGGAGAGAACATCAAATAAGATTAAGGATCGCTAAAAAACCTTGATGAAAAGTGTCTAAACCAATTTCTTTTGCTTCTCTGCTAATAATAATGCACATAAAAATCTATGAATATCTTATGATTTTCTCAATAAAGATTCTTTTGTCTGGCTCTTGTCGTCTGTCGTTACACCAGTAGTTCCGAAAAAGAACCTGATGTGAACAAGACTTTCACAGTCCCCTACTGTATACTAACTAATTTTAATTTTACCTCAAGAGTTCGTCTGTTACACACTATTGAGGTCGTCGGAATTAAAATTAAGAAGCCTAACTGATGTATCCAAAAAAAATTGGCTTAAACACTTTCCTTAACTTGGCCATCAAGATTTTTAACTATCCTTAATTTACTGTATAAATTTCCTTGATTTTATCTCACTTTCTATCCAATATTACATTTTTTTTGCGCTTATTATAACCTAGGCATCTTTACGAACTGTAATTAATAAATCGATCCCAATCAATATAAATATCGATATCATTTGTCAGCATTCTGATCTTCTCCCCCCCCCCACACACACACACTTCCATTGTCAGAATTCAAACGCCAACTGCGCTAATGCGTACCATGGATGTGCAATTCCAGTTTGACAGTACTATTTACTGCTAAACAGATGGTGTAGCTATTTATATGGGCAGTTCAATTATTCCTGTTTCAGCAGACATCTCCGCATCCAACCTTGATAGAACAAAGTTGACGACTGCAATTGATGAAATAACTTCTTACTGTCGATATGTAGGTGACGCATTTGTAGTGTGCAATAATGAAAGTCATGCTTCCCAACCACTAGAATTATTCAGCGACACACACAAACACAAAAATACTGAATTTACTATGGAACCTGAAAATAATGGAAAGTTCCATTTGCTTGACATTGTCATGCAACGCCTAGAAGATGGTGGTCTCCAGAGGTTAACTTACTGAAAGCCGACATGGAATGAGGGGTAGTTACATTTTAATAGTTTTTATCCAAGTAGCTATAAATGAGTACCAGTAAAAACTCTGTTCTATAGAGTCAGAAGAATATGCTCTACAGTCAAATTAGAGGAAGAATTTATGACTCTCGAAAAGATGTTGAGAAACAACAGTTACGCCCAGAAATTCATTAACAGGTATGTGACATGTGGAGACTCAAATGTCAAACAAATCACTGTGGGAAAACGAATGCCTATCTTCCTTCAACTCGATTTTAAAGGTGACAATACTGCAAGAATAGTCAACAGAAGACTGAATACCTCTCTAGTCAGAATCAATCCTGCAGATAAGTTGGTTCCCGTTTATCGGAAAATATGCTCTTCATTGGTGTAATCAAAAGTCAGCAGATACCATTCCCATGTTAACTCTAACTGTGTATATAAATTTACATGTGTCTGCGATAGCAGTTACACTGAGAGAACAGAAAGAAGGGCACGCCTCCGATTTTCTGGATATCCACCAAAAAGCCAACGTTTGAAGGGAACAAATGCTTTCAACAGTGCCATTGCCAGGCATCTCCTTGATAATACGGGTCATGAGATGGATATCGCGAAATCCTTCAAAACTATCAACAGGCAAAAATAGCTCAATTCTCCTCAAGTTTGCTGAAGCAATCTCTATCAAACTCCTACAACTCAATTATACGCTCAGAAAAAAGCAGTTATCAGCCTTTCCTTGCCTTGGTAACTATATGTCTTCACCTTCTCCCTTTCATTTGACTACGTAACGCTAAAAATTCCATTCTGTATGACTGTTACTGTATGGAATAGTGTTTATTATTATTATTACTACTACTACCACTATTATTGCATACAACAGAGAAAATTTGTAGCTTAGGTGGATGATTTGCAATCAATAATGTTCTCTGAGCTGGTTGGTTTAGTTGCGGAGCTTTCGTTGTCCCCCCTGCTGGACAACATCCCCTTTCAGTGCAGTGTTTAGCATAAAGTGAAATGAATTAAATTTTTCATGAGTGATATAATTGAGTCTCCCGGTAACTATCTTGACATATGTATTGACCATTTTCTATTGACTTGGATTTTAAACTTTCCCGTCACATGATTTACTTTTTGTTAGTTGGTATATTTGGTCTATATTAACGTGTTTGTTAACTGCATACTCGTTTGAGTACCAGACTTCTAGGAATTCCCTGGCTGCACTTTTGGTGTTTCCTCTGTCTAAGATTTCGACATTATCCCAATCAAATTGATGTCTATAATTGTCCATATGCATTGATACTAAAGAATATATATCGTATCTTTTCACAGCTGATTTGTGTTCTTGGATTCTAATTCAAAGGGGACGCCCACTTTGGCCGATGTAGTGCCTGTTACAGTTCATACAATTTATTTTATAAATGGTATTAATTTTATCCCCTTTTTCTGTTGAATCTTTCGGTTTGCATAATAGCGATATATATTCTTCCATATCATTGCATATAGACAATTATAGACATCAATTTGATTGGGATAATGTCGAAATCTTAGACAGAGGAAACACCAAAAGTGCAGCCAGGGAATTCCTAGAAGTCTGGTACTCAAACGAGTATGCAGTTAACAAACACGTTAATATAGACCAAATATACCAACTAATAAAAAGTAAATCATGTGACCGGAAAGTTTAAAATCCAAGTCAATAGAAAATAATCAGTACATATGTAAAGATGGTTACCGGGAGACGCAATTCTATCACTCATGAAGGAATTTAAATCGCTTTACTGCGTACTAAAAATCGCGCTGAATATGTTGTCCAGAAGGACGATGAAAGCTCCGCAACTAAACCAACCGGCTTAGAGAACACTATTAATTGCAAATTATATGTATATATTGATTTTTTGTTCAAACTTGAACTCTTTGGGCGAGTATGTTAATATTAATTGTGTACATAAACTTAATAATAATTACATTGCTAAGCTGTAAGTAGATGATGAGTAGCTAACGAAATAAACAATGATGGTACCATCTTATTATGTATAAACTGTTGTTCTTACTTTATTTAAAATCGATATTATTTTTAAAAAAAACATCAATATTGTTAATGACGATTATTCTACAATATATCGTGGATACAAATACATACATATACATAATTGTAGATCCGGAAGAGGAATTTACCGAAAAAAATATTCTTCCTTCAGACTTTTTTTGTCTTCTAAAAGTTAATTTTATTACTTTTCATGTTAGCATCAATTTACAAATGTTGTTTATTTAAAGACAATTTTTCATGAAGAAAAATAGCAACATGATATTTAATACCATTTATAAATAAACAGTATTAAAGAACTATTCCATTCAAATTGTAAGCCATTCAACGTATCAATAATTCCTTCAACACTGAGAGATCATATTCGGATATATGGGGTGTGCAAATAAAAAGTAATAATAATAATAAGTTTTCAAAAGTTTGTTTGTAGGTGGCACAGTGGATAGGACTCTCACCGACCATTCACATGGTCCGGGGTTCGATCCCCTGCCGACGCACACCTGATATCTATGGTCGGCCTGCAAAATTTGGGCTACCGATATCACATGCTGAAAATTCTATACCTGTACCAAAAATACGGTGTGGCATCAAGCTGTAATCAAAATAAAAAAATAAATAATTTGTTTCAAGCTTGATCACGGATTGATATCACATGGAGAACCACTGAAAACTAGGGAGTAATGGACAGTTGTTTCGTCCCAGTTTGGGACTCGACAACCCAGGACCTTTTGGTTATAAAGCAAGCTTGTGCATCAATCAGCTAATGACATTGGTTGGTGGTCGAGCTAAAATCACGAAGTTAGGATCCACTCGCCACTGAGTCGAGTCCTTGTGACTGAACAGTTCATGAGCTCGCCTTGCAACCGGGTGGTCCTGAGTTCAAACCCCTGTGGTGGGTGCGCACTATCGGTGAGTCCCAAACTAGGACGAAACAACTATCCAGTGCTCCCTGATTTTCAGTGGCTCTCTAACTGATATTAATCCGTGAACAAACCTGAGATAATAATAAGTATTTACGATAAATGACTACGTGGAAATCCTAGCTGGCATACCACTATGGAGCATAATTTTATATTCCATGAAATTGCTTTCTAAATCCTCCGGTGGAAAGGTAAAAATCACCATTATTCTGAACATATTATACGTTTCAGAAACACTAGATAGGTTTTTGAAAAGAAATATACACTGACCCGTGTCAATACGACTGTCTTCGTAATTTAAACAGTAATATTCCCTAAACATTCAGATGAATTTATTGACCCAATTTCCCATTGTCATTCTAAAGTGTTGTTATGCCAAACCAGCCAAAATCCCTGTTATATAGACATAGATATATATAGGGCTCCAAGCTAGAGCTTTGAAGTTTTGGCAGTAGTGGTCTTTATTTTTACAGGGTGGGGTTGCTAGTCTCAAGCTCAACCTCCCCTTTTTACAAACTTTAATCCGTCGAAGGGTGAAGATATGATCAATACACCCTCTTCCTGGTCTAAAGCCTGTCTGGTTCTTTCATGTTTGTTCCTCTCGAGCGCCACTTTCGTCTACGCATTATTATTGAACCTATAACTTTAGATACCATACTGGTCAAGCTAATCCCCCTGTGATTATCACAGGAAGACTTGTGTCCCTTTTTGAATATCGGGATTATCAATGGCTTACGCCAATCCGACGGGACGACTCAGACTCGAACTGCTGCACATCGGTGCAACATTCTATGTTGAAACCAGTCAGTCAGTCAGTCAGAGGGACTTTAATGCCGGCTTAGCGAGGTTTAGGGATGTGTCAGCAGAGGGCTGATCCCCAGACCACGTGTGTGGTTGGGGAGCGTCCTACCGCCATACAACCGACGCACTGTTTTTTTCTTTAGGTTACACTATTTACACTAATCCTATCTTCCATACGTCACAATTAGATCATTGTACAGCCTACTCTTCGGTTGAAGTGTGATATTCAATTATTCGCGATCAACTGCTCCCTACATGTCTTCTGGGTACTACGACGTTGAGGGTTCTATTCTGTCTGTCTGTCTGTTTTCGACATAGAACTTTGCACAAATGTGCGGAAGTTCAAGTCGCCACACTCCGTGTAGCACGCGAAGCAAGAGAAGAAAGTACAAGAAAAGCATAATCGAAACAGTGAGCAGAGGTGTGACACAAAGGAGTAATAAAGAAAAACAAAACAGTTTCATTGGAGATCATAAGTCACAAGGAGTGGATGCATCTAAGCCAGCCAGCCATTGAGAACGATTTTGAGCCATGTCACCAATTGTTTCCAACCATAGATTTTTACCGTCCCGAGGACCCCAGCCTGGAAGTCTACACCTTCCTACGTGGCTTAGACCAACTGTTGTGGATTTCATTGACTGGTGCCAAGTTTTTGTTTGACCGCCGCTAGCTTTTTTCCAGCCTGACCCTATATCCGCTAACATTGCTCGTCGAGGGAGGCGATGGCTTGGCATACGTAACACATGTCCTAACCATCTCAGTCTTTGTAACTTCACGACTTCGTCGATTGATTTCCCCTGTTTACCTAGAACTCTACGCCTAACCTCAATGTTGCTCACCTTATTATGCCACTTTACACGGGAAATAGAGCGCAGGCACCTATGATCAAAGACAGCTAGTCTTTTCATGTCTTCCACTCTCAGTGGCCAGGTCTCACAGTGCCATAGAGGAGGACGGAGCGGACTGATGAGCAGTACACCCGCCCTTTGGTCGATAGTCGAACATCTCGTCTACGCCAGAGTCGGCGTAAACTGGCAAATGCGAAACGAGCCCCCTGTATTCGTGCTGAGATTTCGTCAGAGATCAACCCGTTGGCACTGGCTGATAGTACTTCCCAAATAATTGAAGCGGTCAACGTGCTCTACCACTTCACTTCCTATTTTTAAACTAGGCGTCGATGTAGTCCAGTCCTGTAACATCATCTTGCATTTGGCGGAAGCGAATCGAATGCCAAACATTCGTCGATTGCGGCTCAAGGTGTTTAGAAGACTCTGCATTTCGTCAGCGTCTTCACCTAGAAGGACTATATCGTCTGCATATTCCAAGTCAACGAGATTATTCCCCGGTAGCAAGTCAATCCCTGAGTCGCTGAAGTCACTTAGGGTTAAGTCCATTAACACATCTATGATGAAGTTGAATAGAAAAGGAGATAATGGGCATCCTTGACGGACACCACTGGTCGTCATCAGTTCAGATGACAGCTCGCCGTAAGCCCTCACCTGGCTGTATGAGTACGAGTAGAGTGCCTTAATCAGTGCAATATATTTTCTTGGAATTCCCTTTACAGCCAAGCATCTCCAGAGAACTTCTCGATCGACAGAGTCGAATGCTGCCTTTAGGTCAAGAAATATAATGACTGTTGGACGCCGGTAGGAATGCCTATGTTCTAGAATCTGTCGGAGGGTGAAGATATGATCAATACACCCTCTTCCTGGTCTAAAGCCTGCCTGGCTCTCTCGTGTTTGTGCTTCCCGAGCACCACTCAGTCTACGCATGATTATTGAGCCTAAGACTTTAGATACTATATTAGTCAAGCTAATCCCTCTGTGATTATCACAGGAAGACTTGTCTCCCTTCTTGTATATGGGGATAATCAGTGAATTACACCAACCCGAGGGTTCTATTAAATGTATAGAGGTCTGTAAATCTACTCAAGTGCTTATTACCTTAATAAAGACAAAACAGGATCATAAGGAAGGATCAAGTTGAAAAAATCAAATTGACAATAAAACACCAAGTTATCCATCAAGCTTTTTAACCAACAACTCTCTCTCTCTCTCCCATTTTAGGGCTAATTGTGCTTAACTCCCTTTAACTTTGTGAAAGAATAAGACGTTTTAATTCTAATAGAGAGAAAAAAATACACTTAATACACAAACTTTTCTATTACCTGAGGTACGTTTAGTACCAATGACCACTCAATAAACAAAGACTAACATAATAATTAATGTCAGCAAAGTAATAAATATTGTACTCACTTGGAATAGTTGTCACTACTTCACCAACCTGTAATCTATACAGAATTGTTGTCTTCCCAGCTCCATCCAAGCCTAAGATGAGAATTCTGCGTTCCTTGCTCCCAAATAAGCGAGAAAATAAACTGAATATGCCACCTGATTATGCAAGGGTAATGTTGAAGCTCAATACTTACCCATAAATAATACCTTCGGTTGTTTTGTTATTCACAAGAAGATTCTGTGCGTCTGTGTGTATTTGGTGCTATTCTATGATTAGGACTTGATGTGACTTTAGCCAACAGAGGTCGGTAGCCTTTCTGAAATTTGCAAAGAAAATAAGTCTAAAATTGTAGGATGTGCATTTAACCTAATGATTGGCAGGCATTACCATACAGTATTCTACCTTGAGTATTCGGTTACTTATATTTTAGGTAGACTACTAAGAAGACTTTTGAAACTGTTTAACAAGGAGGAGCATAATGGAGTTCCTCAGAGACATGGGAATAAATATATACAACTGATATTTAACACTACGCTCGAATGTGTCAGGTTTGAAATAGATACCAAAATACTTGAGTTACCAAAGTAGGCAGTTAGGATTCAGTTATCCGGAGCTGATTTCTGATGTGCCAGACTATGAACCACACACACACACACACTGTGAGGGCTTTATGATATTCCCTAATTACGCAAGGTGAAGTAGGTGGAGTAAGATTCGAACTACTGGCTGAAAATCAAATGCTTAAGGCAATAAGTTACATCCTCATCAATTACCTATTTGAATCCTCATCACCAATGAGGAATATGTAATGATATGATATTGAGACAAATAGCTAGAATACTCTTCAGAATCTGTCGACAGATGAATATGTGATCAATACATCCTCATCCTGGACTAAACGCTGCATGGTCCGCACGCGTTTTTGCTTAACTCGAGGACCGCTCAGTCTACACATAATTATTGAACCTAGAACTTAAGATACTACGTTAATCAAGTTTATTGCCTTATTGTTATAACAGGAATTATATCGCTTCTTATATACTTGAATAATCAATGGTCTGTATTAGTCCAACAAGAGTATTACAGGCTTCCACACCTTACCTATATCTTAGTTAACTCACAGGCAATAAGTTTGTCACCACCGTCCTTAAACATATCTGGAGTTAATCGATAATGTTCCGCTGCTTATCTTCATTTCAAACAGAAACAGCCATTTTAACCTTAGTTACAGATGGAGAACCGATGTTTACATAGAATTAAGGTAAGTACCGGAAGCTCGGAAAGTTAAGTGTGAGGATGTAGGCCAGTTAAATTGCTCTTCATTGTATTCCCTCCAAAATTTTAGTTTTATATTCTGAGAGGTAATAAAAAAACACCGTTTTTTCTCGAAAACCTGCACTTATTTATATTCCTCAAAAACTGTTTCACTAATGAACCTAAATAATTGTCTGGTGTTATTATGAATTCATTCGGATATTAACTTTAAGGATTACTGCCACAAATTTAATGTTATATTTTACATTTTATACTCGGCTGTAGATGAAAATTAAAAAAATAAAACTAATGCTAATGAACTATTCGCAACAAAAATTAATGCAGCCGTATAAATCTGAGAAAATGTATAAGTATAATTCCTAAGAAGCTAAGATGTAAATGTTTAGTGAACTAAGAGATCGTGGATGCTGTTTTTGGGTTAATTATTCTGAATGGCTAATTTTAGCCCAGAACTACATTATATCATGTATGCAGCCAGCCATATCTATTTTGTGAGACGTGATCCATTGGCCCTAAGCACCAGACTAATGATCAATAAGGTAACAGCTTCGAATCTCGCTTTACATGCTTCAGTTTGGATAAATTGGGTTCTGTTAGCCCTCGTAGAATACGTGCGGATCATAACACAATAGCTTGTGAGTTCCAACCATAAACAGATTGTTCAAGTCTCAGTAGATGGAGTGGCGTATAAAGCCATGACTCACTGACTGGAAGGTGAGTCCCAACCAATAGACCTAATCCACTTTACTCAGCACATCTACACAGCTAGAATCGACATCCCTCAAAACTCCTCTGAAAAATATCACCGAAACCAAGATTACGAAAAAATGAATTAAACCAAATTCGCCTAAGTAAATTGCACAGCTACCGATTATTTGCCATACAGAAAATGAGTTCGACCAAATCATTTTACATGAGGTGATTCAGTATATGATGAAAGAATGAAATTATGCAATATCCCCATCCAAAGTTCTTAAAGAAACACGTTTTTAAAAGACCTTAAAAAAAACACCAGGAATTACTTCTGACTAAAGATTCATACTATACTGATTTCTACACAACACAAGCCATTAGTAAGAATAGGTGGAGTGCTTATGTGATACCACTTCAGTTGAATTTCCAGCTACATTAAAAAGTGCAACACCTGTTGACTGAATATCATTTGAAACGCTACTTCCCACAAACTAACTGACTGGTTTCAATATAGGACTTTGCACAGAAGTGCATCAGTCCAAGTGATCACACTGCAATTAGCACACAAAGGAAAACAAAAGAGAAAAGATTAGGAAAAAACGTTAATGAGCAGAAGTGTGAGGAAGAAAGAACAGTATTATGTTTTTAAAAAATTAGGTCTTATTGGATAAGGCAGATCAAGAGTAAATGCATGGGAAACACTGAAAACGATTTTGAGCTACTTCAGCAATTGTCTCTAGCCACTGGTCCTTAGAATCCTGAGGACCCTGACGAGGCAATCCACACCTCCCTTCCTCAACCTATTACCATGTCAGTTAACATTAATTTTAGAGGAAGACGACAGTTAGGCATGCGTAACACTCAACACCTAACTTCAACATTACTCACCCTATCATACCAGCTAACACGGGAGGTAGGACACATACCCATGATCAAACACAACTAGTCTGTTCATGTCTTTTGCTTTTAATGAACAAGCCCCACAGCCATAAAGGAGGACGGAGCAGTACACACGTCCTTTGGTCGGTAGTCAGATCTCGCGTCTACCCCAGAGATGACGTAAGTTGGCAAATGTTACACGAGCCATATTTACCCGTGCTTCTCGCAGTTACATCAATGTGTGGTACGATATGACCAAGAAGAATAAATCGTGGTCATGGCACTTCACAGTAAACACTACTGTTTTAAGTGACGCGCCCAACAAATAAAAATCTGCTTACACGTTGCACACCATCTAGTTATTATTAATTAGATACCGTTCCTCCCCTCTAGCAGCGGGACATATATATATATATATATATATATATGTAACACCCAACACATATACCAAAAGAAATGGAGGTAAATCAGACACATGCTAAAACGACCGCTGAGCGACATCAGAAACCAAGAGTCCAAGTAGAACCAGACTGGGAAAGGACTGGTTGGGTGTCCAACTGTGACATGGAGGAAGTCGTATGAGGAGATGAAAGTTAGTGGTCAATTGTCGAACCAGCTAAAATGGCTACAGGGAACCGGATGAAATAACAATGTGATTGGTGTTGAAGCACCATGGCCCAATCGGAACCCGAGAGAATAATAATACGTACAACCAGTTTTTGGCAGGGAAGTGAAATTACTGACTACCTAATTGACAGTAGTGAATAACACATACAAAACTTAATTTTTTTATTTCACGTTCCCCAGTAGAACATAGGGTTTCAAGCTAGTGGCTTGAAGTTTCTGTAGCAGTGTTTATTTTACAGGATGGGATTGCTAACCTGATGCCCAACCTTCCCTTTTTACCAGCATTATTTCTAGCTTAGCGAGGTAAAGGAGTTCGTCGGCCGGGGATCGAACCCCGGGCCATGTGCATGGTCGGCGAGCGTTCTAACCGCTGTCACCGACGTACATAACACAATAAACAATAAACACAATAGCACGTACAAAAACTTAATTACTGTTCACTAATAATTTTGCTGTGTGCTAGAAGACACTGAGAGATTAACAATAACAGTTTACTGTACGTGGTCGCTCTGCGTATAGTGAAAAATGAATTCGTTTACATACGGAGGCTTAGAGTTGAAACGAGATTGGCGAAAAACTAGTATCTGAAGGCACACAATCAATAATTTCACCTAACCATACAGCATTGCTTTTCAAACAGCAGAACCCACCCTAAGCATGACAGCTTACATGGCACCAGTCAATGAAGTCCACAATAGTCGGTCTAAGCCACGTAGGAGGGTGTAGACTTCCAGGCTGGGGTCCTCGGGACGGTAAAAATCTATGGTTGGAAACAATTGGTGACATGGCTCAAAATCGTTCTCAATGGCTGGCTGGCTTAGATGCATCCACTCCTTGTGACTTATGATCTCCAATGAAACTGTTTTGTTTTTCTTTATTACTCCTTTGTGTCACACCTCTGCTCACTGTTTCGATTATGCTTTTCTTGTACTTTCTTCTCTTGCTTCGCGTGCTACACGGAGTGTGGCGACTTGAACTTCCGCACATTTGTGCAAAGTTCTATGTCGAAAACAGACAGATGACAGCTTCTTTACATGTCACAAAGGGTTTGGTATGCACAGTTACTACTTGACAACATCGTGTAGATCAAATAAGTCTAGTCTTGAGATTTGGTTGTATTACCAAATGTTTACTACTTTCTTCCACTGAATTGGTTGTATTTTGGTTGTATTACCAAATGTTTACTGCTTTCTTCCACTGAATTTAAGGGATGACAACGTAAGATGACATTCGCACACATTAAAGCATCATAGGAATTTTAACATAATGCAGAGGGGAGCAGCGATGATGGATATACCGGCGAAGGTATTAACTACAACTATTGCAATACTTCTCAAATGGAACATAAGTATGCAAGCATTACTCATGTAATACTTATTTAGTGGTCTTTTTACCAGTAGTATATATGACCCCTGTGAAAATGGGAAGTGGTGGGGGTTAATTTATACACGAAGCACTAGAAATACTGTGAGAAAAGACGCGTAATCGACCAAGCATCTTCAGTGCTGATATTTTGGCCGACTTCCGCTAATTAAACAGTGTTGAATCAATTTTTGAAGTACTATAGGAAATATATTGCCAACCAAAAAAAGTTGTGAAAGATTAATGCAGTAAAAACAGGGAAAACTCGATAAACAGAATGCCTTTTCGCTCCTATATCCAAAATCGACATGTATAATGCCTTGTAAATATACATCTCCATGGAAAAAGCTGTCGAAAAAGT